CCCCGCGTCTCGAAGGGGAGAGTCGCGGCCATGGGTATGACTCGTGGAGAAATTCGCTTATCCAAGCGGCCAAGACTGTAAGACTGGACGGCCAATTGATCGGCAACAACGAGCNGCCGGAGTGGGCCCGGGCATAGGACCGGACTACGGGGAAGCGAGGGGGGTTGAACCCCCCAGGTGAGATACCCGTGATTCGAGGAGATGGAGAATTCCTCGGCGGCTACAGCAGTAGCCACATGAAGAGAGCAACAGTCAATGCCCCGCGTCTCGAAGGGGAGAGTCGCGGCCATGGGTATGACTCGTGGAGAAAGTCGCTTATCCAAGCGGCCAAGACTGTAAGACTGGACGGCCAATTGATCGGCAACAACGAGCGACATGCACCTGTCGGCAACCCAAACGTGCCAAGCTCGGAGCTGTACCGCCTCCAATACACCAGCGACGAGGTCCAGAGGGGCCTCCACGCGTTCAATTTTGTGACCACTGCCATCGCCAGAGAAGCCGACAAGGCGATCGTGAACAAATGCGAGACCACATAAGAGATCCTCGCGGAACTCGACAAAATCTACGATCCGGAATCACAAGGCTCGAAACAAGCCCTCATGAAGCTGTTCAACTTTACGATCCCCACACACAGAAGCAGAAACCCCATCGAGCACCTGTACTCGCTAGAGCTGCTGTACTCACGGCTACGCGAACAAGGGCTCAACGCCGACGCACCCTTTGTACTCTCCCACTTCGTTGGTTCCCTTCCCACCCGAGCACCAACAAGCGAAGTTCCTGTTGGAGACAGCAACGGCGCTGGATAGGGCCGAGATCGTCAGAATCGTGAGCACGGGGCACGCGAGCCTTCCGGAGGGGAGGAAGGCCTCGAAGGGCCAGCGGAGGGTGGAGCACGCTCTCCTCGCGAGCGACGGTAGCGGTGGGGGAGGAGCGCCAGGCCGCGGCAACGGCCGCCGCCGCAAGGGTGGCGGCGGCGGCGGCGGCAACCAGAAGGGGAGAGGGGGTGGCGCGAAGGCTGGAGGCGGCAGCGGAGGCGGCGACGACGATGCGGGTAGCATGCGCGGTCGCTGTTTCCGGTGCGGTAAGAAGGGCCACCAGGTGGCCAACTGCCCCGAGAGCAAGCCCGTGCGATGTGAAACATGCAAGGGCTACGGGCACGACAAGAGCAAGTGCCTGACCGAGGAGGCGGTGCTCGTCGTGGAAGTACCGGCGGGGGGGGGCGTCTGCGGACGCCACAGCACTGGACGTGGCAGAAGAAGCGCTGGTGGTCGGTGACATCTCAGGCGAGTGTCACAAAGTCGTTGGTCGAGGGGGTGTAGAGCAGGCTAGGCGGGGTAGGTATGTTGCCGATACCGGCGCTACCACCCACATGTTCGCGAACTCAGATGGGTTCGTTCGTTACGAAGAGTGTGATCGACGTGTGCGCGTCGCCGCCGGAGAGACCTTCCCTATCGTAGGGTATGGCGACGTGACGGTAACCCTTAGCTCGCGCGACGGTACAACCGACCTGTTGTTGAAACGGGTTGCACACGTCCCCCGACTAGACTACAACCTAGTATCTCTCACTTCCCTCTTCGACGACGGGTTCAAAACCAAAACCCTAGACAAAACACAAGTCGGAATAGGAGAAAGAGGAGGGGAAGTCGGTGTACTTCCCCTGATGCGGTAACCTGTACGTCCAAAACGGGTTCCTCACACACACCAAACATGCCTATGCCTTCAATTGCGCCTGGCAACGCGAAAGCGTCCAGCNCCAGCACCCCCGTTGACATCAACGATTTCCACTGCGCGCACGGCCACTCCCACGAGGTGCTGCTGAGGACCACGGCGAAGCAGCAAGGGACGACGCTGGTGGGCGAGCTCCGGGAGTGCCTGGGGTGCTCAACGGCGAAGGGGCTTTTGAAGCCCATCCCCAACAAGACGTCGACCCGAGCATTGCTGCCTCCCATCGCAGGGGAGGAAGAGGAATTCGCGACGGAGGAGGACGAGGTTGGAGAGGGCGCGTCGAGCCAAGGTGGAGGGAGGACAAAGGGAGAACCTGTGGATGGGGGACCAGGTTTCAACCTTGGCACGACGGCAGCCCCGGGGCCCGCGGGGCCGCCCGCGCCCCAAGAGTCAGGCGCGGGCGACGCTGGCGATGGCGCCCCCTCGAGCAGGGAGGGCGCGAGTGTCGCCCCATTCACCACGTCGACCGGCACGGTCGATGTGGGTGGCGGCGAGGACGACCGCCGCAGCAGCAGCAGCAGCGACAGCGCAGCGGCGTCAGCACCGAGATGACGAGAAGGGAGATGAGTGGCGGGCGTCAAGGAGGCGTTGTTTGTGCGTGCTGTGCTTTCGTTTGTTGCCCCAGATACCAAGTGGTAGCAGCATCCAGGTCCTTGAGGACAACCAGGGGGCCATATCGTTGGTGCAGAACCCCCACAGCTCAGGTCGCACGAAACACATCGACGTGAGATTATATTTCATCAGCGGATTGTTTAGGTCGGGGGATATTTCGGTCAAATTCGTTCCGACAACGGAGCAACACGCGGACCTCCTAACCAAGGCCTTTAGCAGGGCTAGTCTGCAGTATCACCGGCGCAAGTTGATGAATTTGCCGGACTAGCTGTAGCAGTATCTAGCACTTGGGAGAGGTCATGTTTTCCATGCGGGGAAAGGCGCATAACTGTTGCGGTCTGTGTACCAATGGCAGGAGTAGGGGGCGTTGGGAGACCATCGTCCGGGTGAACGTAGTTCCTCGCGTTCTTGTCTTCGCCTTGGCCTTTCTAATAAGTGCGGCCGTTGTGGTCCGCTGTGATAGCGACGGTTTTTGTGGTGGTAGGGGTTTTTCGAGGAGTTTTGCCCGGCGGCCGGGTTTCCCCTTCCATATATTTCCCATGTTGGTATTTTCTGATGTATCCAGGGGCGTTCTTGCCCCATTAATGGTTAGTCACTTGCGCGAAGAACCAGGGAGGGTGTTCGTGGGTCTGCGAACATTGGTGTTGGATACATGTGCTGGATGATTTGGTGTCACGCAGACTGGTAAGATTGCCGTTTGGTAGGGGGCACCGCGATGATTCACGAGGCCGCTCCTTGCTGTGGGAGCCTCTCTTTGAACGCTTCCTCTTTCGTCCGTGTGAAGGACGGTCTTCTACCTCTCGTGAAGTTGATACATCACCAAAACAGTCTCACCCGATAAATAAGTGTCGTAGGCCGCAAACACTCACCGGACCAGGCTCTCACATCGCCAAGGGCGAAGCGCCGTGAGATATTCGGCGAGTCGCATGAAGGGTGAGCTGCATCCTGCTAAGGGTGTTCGGCATCTTGTGCTTACTTCCTTGCGTACAGATGACACCTGCGTATATGAATGACTTGTTTATTTTCTGGTGCTTTCACGCCCAGAGAAAGTTGTAAGCACTGTGTAACTATCTCGAGGATGCTTGACTATTTTAACACAACGTGGTGCGATTATCCCGTTTGCGTGGATTGAGGGTTCTCGACCCCGCACAACATATTCTGCTCGACCACCATTCATGGTTATCGCAAAACAAAAGGCAAAAAATAGCGGGAACCTGGTTGCCGAGGGCACGAAATGATCGGCTTGTTTTACAACATCGCTGCCAAGCGACGAAAACCCAACGCCGATGGCAAACAGCGTGGGGGGGGGGGGTACTCAAAGTCGTGCATGCGGCAGTCGTTAGACCATTGACCGCGCATCCCTATAAAGTCGGGACGGAGCACGCCGGGTTCTCACCGGACCAGGCTCTCACATCACCAAGCGCGGAGCGCCGTGAGGTATTTGGCGAGTCGCATAAAGGTTGCGCTGCATGCTGCTAAGGGTGTTCGGCATCTTGTGCTTACTTCCTTGCAACGGATGAGCTGCGAAAGACTTCCACTTCCAGAGACGGTTATAAGCACCGCTGTGTGACTGCCTCGAGGTGAGGGTGCTTAGCCATTTTACCAAAACGTGGTGCGATCATCCCCTTTGCGGGGAGTGAGCGTTCTCAACCCCGCACAACATACACTGGAAAGCATGTAACTAACATCGCCCCATGTACATGCATTCTGAGGAATCATGAGCTTTTCCTACACTATCCAGAGAGCTGTTGCCTTACTCAAACCTGAAAACTCACCTCGACCAGAGCGCAGTTGAGCATATGGCACACACACGACTTTCATAGCCTCGGGATTAATATGTAACACAGGCGATGTTTCACATCGCTGCCGGCGTCGCTTGTTGCTGAGAAGAGCATGTACACGTCGAGGCCAAACTCAAGCACATCGGTAAGGTGCTTCTCGAGAAGCTTAGAGAGGCGCTCGTTCTCGAACATCTCCGGTGTCGGGTTGAACTGTCGAACAGCTAGGAGGCGGGACCTCAGCCGCCACTCCCGGTCGATGTAGAACAACCGAACACCTGAATTCAACAATATCGGGAGGCGATGCGTGAAGGAAGCAACGGATGAATGATGTTGATCGGAGGTTGAATAGTTGTTTGTTCCAAATTTACTACTTCGAGTACGTCGTATTTTGCAAAACTTTGAAACAGCAAGAGGGTGGGTGGGGGGCGTCACGACCTTAGCTATCGTAGCTCACGCAAACCTACAACAGGTTATTGTCGCCCACTTCTGCTTACCCATGAACATCAAGGTCGAGGACTTGTCAACCCACAGTTCGAGGTCGAGGTGCAGACGCGGTACGCCTCCAACCTCGGCGGCTATCTCCGCCTTGAACTGAGCAGTGGTCGCGGCGTAGTACTCGACGACCATCTTCGCCACAGTTTCCTTGTGGAGGCGGTCCAGCGGGAAGCCCTTCGCAGCAATCTGGTTCAGGCTCTCCCGCACCCGGCGCTTCTCGCCGTACGACAGAGGACAGCAACCCTCAATCACGTGCCATTTGACCTAGTTTATAGCCACACAGTCTTCCAGAGCGTCTGCCTTCGCCTGTGTGGCTACAGTTTCGTAGAGGCCTTTGTGAACCGTCCTTCGTTTTAGGCCAAAAATTGGATTCTGAAACAGCAGCAGAAGCACTTTCGCAACAGTTGTTGTTTCTGTTTTCTTTGGCCGAGACATAAACTGACACTTTCAATGACGCGTGCGTAAAACAAGCAACTACACCGTCCACATGAATGTCTTGCCATTGCAACGTAGAACGAGTAACAAGGTGAACGTCCAATTAGGGTCCTTAGTATCTAATAAATATTTGGGCTATGCAGACTTCAGCATATGCAGACTTCAGCATAGGTTAAGCGGTAACCCAGGCGTCTGGGATAAACAAGGATGCTTGAGAGAATATTACCATCTTGGTACATTTTTAGAATGGGCGACTTTGTCGATGAGAACATTCGAGAGTGAGTTGGTAACAAGGTAGGTAAATGTTATGGAATGCATATACATATGTGTTCCCAGTTATGGGATTGATTTGTGTGGCTTGGCATGCTGTAGTCTGGGGAGGGCCAAACAGTTGGTCGTATGTGCCTACACCCAGTTTTCCCACTCCAGATTAGAGAGATATATTCCTGAAGCGAGGGAAGAACTAGAACACACTGTAACCACACCTGCTGTCTGGTGACAACGGATACAACTTCTACCGAGAGCGGTCCGAGCCCCCGGGTTCTGGTTAGGCAGGCGAAAGCACCTCACTACCGCCTCCGCCCGGAATGGATTGTGCGACAGCTAAATAATAAGATTACCCTGCAAACGTCGCCCAAACGAACCTTTGGGTTCACATCTTGACCGACCTTGCTGCTGATTTTGCTGGGCATGCCGCTCGGCGTAAGAGTGGGGGAAAGCCGTTGGCACCCAGGGAGTCGCCTGGATAGTCGTCTCAAAAATTTGACCCCTTCCTGCTTGTCCTCAATCAGCAGCAGCAGCTGCTGCTGCTGCTGCAGCTGTAGTCTATATGCAGCCGTGAATTGGCCTGTTGCGGCTTGGGCATGTTGCGCTAGCACTTGGGCATGTTGCCCTCACGCTAGCGCTCTCGCTTCCGCCTTCATTCGCTGTTGGTGTAAGGCCAGCTGCTGTTGGACGTTGGGCTGCTGAATCCCTTGCTATGGAACAGCACCCGCAGCGCGTTGGTTTTGCGCTGGCTGCAACTGCTGCTTCGGCTCCTGCTGCCGCTGTTGTACTGCCTGAAGAGCGGCCTGTAGTGGTTGCGCCTGCTGCGATATGCTCCCCCCCCCCACCCGCTTCCCAACTCGTGCCTGACCAAGGCCATGGAAATCGAGACAATGAGAGCACGGAATGAATCAGCAGCACATCGACCACAGTACGAGCACCAAACCAAACGTTAGGCAGCAATTGGTACGTCACGAACTACCACACGCCGCGGCAGGAGCCAGCACATTCGCAGAAAAACGTCGCTGAGAAGGAGCACGCCACTCTCGCTTTAGTTCACGATCCAGCGGAGCGTCCTCGCCCGCACGCAGTCGAATACGGGAAAAGAGGTGGTCGCAAAACGCCGTGCTCTACAACCCGGGCACGCGACCGCCGATCGACTCTCGGCCCTCATAGACGTTTCGTCGGACAGGCGCACCTCCAACTTTATTTTTCCCGAGTTCGGCGTGAAAGCCGAAGGATCAAGAGAGCAACAAACAGGACTCCTGTTGATTGCTGCTGTAAAACGGCGAATAACACACCGGCTCCGCACGCTACTGGAGGTAATTCAGACACTTTCCACCCCACGGCCGTGCAGCGAGGGAAGGAGGGGTGGAGCCTCCTCCGCTTGGATTCGCCGCTGCTGTAGGCGGCGGAGAGACACCACCAACGACGCCGCCTCGACTGGCCGCTGCTGCCGATGCTTGCCCCTGCGGTACAGCCGTCGCAGCGGCAGGCGCCGTCCCGTCACCACCCGCTAATTTGATCACCTGGTCGGGATGTTCGTCACGAAGCAGAAGGACGGCGGATGGGGGACGCACTCGTTATCACGCACCTCCTTGGCAAAATGACCTTTAATTGACGGTAAACAATAGCCAGGGTGAACAACTATGCTCGTTTGTGACTGCCTGACCAACTCCCCCCGTCCTTCTCTGCCACCCCCCACCCTTCTTCCTCCGGGTATATCCCCTCCCAGCAATGCCTTTTTGCGACTATCGACGAGCATGCCAAATCTATAGGTAAACCGCTGTACTGCTGCTGACGCCAATGCTTGCTCAGGTCGCGCTTCCCACGCGAATTCCTCGGTTGCTTCCCCTGCAAGTGCGGGCAACTATTGGCAAACAGAGACGTAGTGATCAGGCTAGATCTAGGCCTCGCGGGGCATAGCAGTGTGGCAACGCTGGACGAGGAACCGTTGGCAAAGAACCCCTCCCAGCCTCCCCCATGTGAACAGCATCAAAACAAAACACCATTCTTCACACGGGTGATCCCCGCACTGCGGTACCCCACTTCAAACAAAATAAACTCCGGGATCATGCCGATGGCCAAGAAATGCCCGTGTGCTAACATGCGCTTGCTCTCGCTGTCTCTTCTTTGTATTGAACACACGTACTCTAACGTATGCACGAGCAGACGCACGTTTTGTCATACCGTACCGGGCTTGTCAGCCGCTGCGCTCCCGGGCACCGCTCCCTTCTGCTTTTGCAGAGATGCCAGTGACTGGCCCTTGGCAAGCGCCATGGTAGATCTTATCAATAGAGTGGCCTACCCTCTAGGCTCTACAGGACGTCGGGCCTATGGCAAGGCTATGTGTATCCTCCCGGCGTGCCTCCGACCGTTACAAGCAGCGTGACAACACACTCACAAGAACCCAAACAGCCGAACCCTTGCGGGCGCGATGGAAGTGAAACGTGCAACGAGGGTGGGAGAGGGAGCGAGTAAGAGAGTTAGGGGTCAGGGAGAGAGAGAAAGAGAGGGAGCGAGAGAGAGAGAGACACACACAGGGAGACACAGGCGGGTGAAATATGCAAGGATGCCGGCTTCGAACCGTGCTGTACAAATGTTTTGTGCAGTGGCACTCGTCTACCCGGTTGGCACATCCTTCCAGGAATCATCAACATCCGGATACGGGTAGCACCCCTTTCCCCGCAGGTCTTCCTGCCTCCATATGTTTACGGGTTGCCTACTGAGGATTCAAAACAAAAACCAAGCCTCCAAAAGCGCATAGTCGTAGGTGCCGTCTTCGGCCGGTGCAGCTAAATGTGCATCATCGATGTACGCCGCATCAAGGAGATATATTGTATCCCTGCCACGACAACATCAACAGAGGAGTAAGGTACTGCTGTCACTTGTTGTACAAGTAGTCCAGCGGTAGACTAGTTAGTCCCTTTTTGCTGGCATGGTAGACTACAGTAGTAGTGAGTGCAGCAACCGAGTTTTGGCGTGGCAGCTCTGTTACTACCAAGTAGAAACTCTCGACACCATCAGACGAGGTCGAATTCCGGCGTGCCCTAACCCTAACCCTAGCCCCAACCCTAAACCACAATATAGTCTAAGGTAGGTGCACTAGCTAGCGTCGTTGAGCGAACGTACTGGTACAAAAAAATGTGGAGACTACCTTCATAAAGGTACAATCTCCTCCCCAACGTCTGTCGAGGACGATTCCCTGTTTTCACAGTCCCATTTGTTAGATCAAAAAATGTTTCCCATTGTATTACCCGTCAGCCTAACATTACCCGTTTGCCTGTTGATTCTTGGAATGCATGAACCCTTCCAGCGGCTAGGGAACGTTGTCGCGGTAGTACGTTGTCTACATTTTCCTGGCACTACATATCATACTAACCGCTGAAATTGAAGACCCTGCTGTAATGCCACCAACGATGTACGAAGTACCATAGTCTTAGAATGTCTCGTGGTCTCGTCTGTAACGTCTCACGTCTCAACGTATGCATATTGATTCCAAACTCAACTATGATAACTATGGGCACAGGTAGAGTTCGTACCTCTTTGTCCTCTCCTCCTCGGTTTGCTCTGGCTCTTTGGAATTGGAATCCCCCCACCCCCAGTCCTGATGACATAATGCCACAGCAGTAATTGATGCAGCCCCGCTAGCCCCGCTCGAATCTGGAGGTACGGTCGGCTGTCCGCACTTGTCTCTGTCTATCTGTCGATTGCCGGTTGTGTCTGTTGCTCTTGGTTCTTGGTTACTGCTGTTGTTGCAAATGTTAAAATGTTGCGGTTCAACCAGAACGCGGCGTATCTAGGGGGGTGTCGCCAGTTCATTTTTTTATTTTTCCAAATACAACACAACATTTTTCATTTTTCCACTGAGCACCATACGCCCCGCCCCAGGGCGCTCTTTTATGACACAGCAGTGACCGGCAGTGACATGCCAGCTGCAGATCTGATGCAGCAGAGGACAGGATAGACGACACACAAGAGCGTGCACCATTGCCTTCTCTCCGCTAGCTCGCGAAGGTTGGTCTATATAGGGTTCGCGAAGTGCGGATCTGACGGAAAAGGCGCGGGTGTACAGCAGTAGCAGCTGCGGGCACAACGGGAACTCGACCTTGCTGTGGAGGAACAACGGGAACTCGGCCTACCGCTGCTGTGGAGGAACAACCGGCTACCCCGCTGATTTGCAACGTGTGCCGAACATGGCAGGCATCCCACCACCCCCTCCGCTGCCTCAAGGGACTGTCGTCCCACAGGCTAGAGTCATCCCCCCTCCCATGCCAGCGAACAGGTCGTCGGGAACGCTGGGAGGCGGGCTCGGGCAGCAATCGGCCACTCTCGCTGGGATGCCGGCGGCCCCTCCTATGCCGCCTGGGATGGGGTATGCAAACAATGGTTATCCTTCAGCACCAGCAGGAGGACCGGCCGGGGGAGGAGGGCTCCCGCCGCCGCCACCGCCGCCTCCGCTGCCTCCGGGCACAGTCATCCCGCAAAACCGGCCGCTCCCCCCCGCCATGCCGACCGCGGGCGTGATGCCGCTCGGCGGGTTACCGCTGCCGGGGGCCTTGCCGGCGGCGAGCGCGCTCGCGGCTCCGGCGGTTCCGAGGAAGGTGTTAGAAAGGCCCGCCAACGGGTGAGAGGGCGTGCGCGCAGGGCGTGAATCTGTGAGAGATTGGCGCTGAACAGAAAAGAGGGTTGAGATGATGCTGGGTGCCGGTTGTGAGAGGCAGAAGTACCAGCAGTGCGACGAGGATTGCCTACAGCAGTACCACGCCGTGTACTGTTGTGCACCCCGTGTGCGAATGCTGCCATGGTGGTCGTTCATGTTGCTCAAGAATCATTTGGGCACTGCGAAGTTGCCGTCTAGTCTAATATCCTCCAGACTTGCGACCAAGGTGGGGTTGGCAAGATGCCACCTAGCTGTCCAAAGACGGCACAACCATCGAACAACCGCTGTTTGTTGCAAAGACAGCGTCGACTGTCGGGGTATAGTACATACCTGCTCTTTGCCATCCGCGGAACATCCACTTGTAAGCCTTACCATGTACCAGTTCAGGGGTTGAGGACCGTCACTTGAATGGGATTGACGAGTTGACAGAAATTCAGATGTACCGCAAGGTGGTGTACCCACGCGTTCTGTTTTGGCAGTGAACATGGCTCAAACGACAGATAGATACGTATCGTACACAACAACATGAACAGCAAGCAGTACACGCGAGTGGGGTGTTACTGCACCCTATTTGTGCTGACGAGTGACAACGATATTGAAGGACACGAGGGCCAACGTAGATAAAATAATACGCACAATACCTCCACTAGGAGTCAAGCATTCGGCAAGAGTCACGTGGAGAGACTCGATGGACTATTTTGGAGCTGCCGCACTACGGTGGCAGAGGGAGGACAGATGGACACACGCAATCGGGTGTGCCCGGCTGGCACGCACATCACCCCTTCCTCACACTCGTGCGTCTACCTCTTGACCAGGCGAATGCCCACCACCGCCAAGAGATCGTTGATTTCGTTGATTCATGGGATAGAGAGCACCTGTCCTCCTGCCCCCTATATTTTGCGCCGAGTAACGAAACATTCCTTCCGCACCACTGTTTTTTAGTTTTTTGTTGTTTCTCTTCGTGCTTGTTCAAAGGCAAAACGTGGCGTTTCCTAACAAAGTCTCGTACTTCGAGGGTGCCGAAGACCTGCCGGGAGACAAAGAGAAAGGCATGCTTAGGCTCAAGGACGGACAGATGGTGGTCGTCTACAAGACCGATGACCCTCATTGGTGGCTAGGGAAGGTGGGTACGCGTGAGTAAGCACTGCCGAGGAAGCACTTATATCGAAATAAGTGTTGATGTCTTCCGACTTTGAATGCGCCCCGATTTCGTTCGTTCACCTCATCCCACCGACCCATACCCTGTTTCCACCGGCGTGTCGGCATGAGGTAGGGCGCACGTATATGTCAACTGAGCAAGGCGTGTACAAAAGGAAGAGGCAGCCACCCATATATGTGCGCCGCACGAATATGTAGAGAACGCCATGCTCCAAGTTCTAGTTACGCCTTCGCGCGTAGCGAATTCCTGAAGCCATGTTTCTGGCTCGTAGCCCTCCCAAAGCTGATAAGAGTATCAGATTGTTCAGGAGGGACCCCCGCACACACGCTCCCCAGGCTTGTGTCTACTGGTGTGCTCGGGGTTGTGGAATTCTCGCGATTGCAATATCCCTTACCACAGCAACAGCTCGGCAGGTGTCCGACATCTATCTTGCCGCGCGGCTCCTTGAACGAAGCCTTTGGTTTCATCTTCCCGGGTGTAATCGCCGTGTCGGCCAGGCTTTTGTTTCGTGTGTCGTTTCCCGAATGCCTCAGGGGTTTATTTCCCGCCTTCCTTTTTCTAGTGTCCGAAAACACCCACCCGGCCTTTGCTGCTCCATGCGAAACCCAATTTTGTTCACACTCCCTCCTCCCTCCCTCCGTCTGTCTTCTCTCACTGTCTGTCTGTCTGTCTGTCTGCCTGTCTGTCTCTCTCTATCTCTCTCTATATATCTCTCTCCATTTCTACCTCTCTCTCTCTCTCTCTCTGTCTCTCTCTCTGCCCCTGTCTCTGTCTCTCTCTTTCTGTTCCACTCCCGGACTCTTGCCGGGGATTTCCGTGGCAAGCAGGTTGGCGATGATGTTGGGTGGGTTCCGTCCCACTTGCTGCAGGAGGTCGACCCCAAAGCGCCCGGCAGGGAGCAACACGTGCCGCCTCGGGACATTAAGCCCAGGACATGGGGGTCCAAGAAGAAGGTGCGACGGCTGGGACCGCTGTTGCGCTGCCGAGCTTCTGCCTTTTCATGTTGACACTATTGCTACTGGTGGTTACAATGATAGCTGTGGTTTGCTTCTCGGTTGTGGTTTCGGTGCGTTCTTGTTGCTTTCTTTCGAAACCGGAACGAGGAACAACATGTTTTTCTCCCTACGCCGGCCAAGTTGGCGCCGCGGGGTGCCGTGGGTTCTCGTTTCTTTCTCAAGACTTCTCCCACCAACCCTCGTTCCTGCTACACGACACGCGTTGCTCGCGTCATTCTGCCTCGGACACACATCACCTTGGCGGCGGAACTCGCAGGACAACAGCATGTCGGCGGGAGATCTGGACATGGAGAAGACGGACTTCAGCATGACCAACGCCACCACATTCGAGCACCATAACGCCAAGATCACCGCCTTCTTCATCCAGGCGAGTCCATCTAGCCGAGCGAGGGAACGCCATGCCGTGCCCCATGCCCCAAGAAGGACCGCGGAGGCCCAGAGCACACGCTGCGAGCACCTGGCGTTTCCTGCGGGTGCTGCTTGGTTGCGCTGTGGTCGTCGTTTGGATGTTGTCGTTTGCGCTGTCGAGAGGTCCGGTATTGTTTTGTGGGCGTTTGTTTGGCGTCTAATGGTTCCCCGGAAGGAAGCCGGCGGAACGCACCGATAAGCTCGTATGTACGGTGGGAAAACGGGTTGGTACAACGTCTCTGCGCACGTGCTGGTGCTGTGGTACGCGGAGAAGATCGTTCCTTCGACGCTTGTCCGGTCTACGGCAGAGGTCGTGGCTTTCGTGGACGAGTGCGCTCTCATAAAAAAGTGTTTAGTCTCTGTGTGCGCCTCTATGTTGCTCTTTTTATGTTATTTTTTCCCCCAGGTTTCTGGGGTGAAGAAGAGCGTGAAAGAGCAGGGCGACATCTGGGTGGTGGCCAAGACGCTCAAGGCCTTCAACCGTCTGCGCGTGGCGTGGGAAGAGGACTACGGGACGAGCTCTATTCCAGTCGAGCCTCCCCCGGCGCGCTGGGCGGACTGCAGCGAGTCGGATTGGGTGAGAGATGGCGCAAGGAGGTTTGGGGAGTGGACAGTGGTCGGGGGCAGGGGTGGTGTGGGGAGGGGGTAACCCGTTGCTTGGCTCTTTTGGTTGAGTCCTGTCATGTATTGCAAATTGTTGCCCTCTTAAGTGACAGTTACCTCTAGTGCCGGTTTCTCCGTTTTGAGATTCTTTTTTTTTCTTGCATCAAACATCCGGGCAAAGAAATTGCCCCTTTCGTGGAGCGGTGCACGCAGACATGTGTAAACATTCCCCGCTCGCGCACCTCTTCCACCCTTTTTCCTCGCGGAGGCGGCGCTGAAAGTCTGCGTGGCCCTCAATACCACAGTCCTTGATAGCTTGCTCTGTTGAAGACACGGACGATGCAATGAAAGCCAGGTATTCGGACGCGGCGCAGCGGCACCACACGCGTCTCGCGGTGCGTCCGGATTGGTGCTTTATTTGTTTCCTCTTGACCCCTACCCTGTCTCCCCGCCCTTCGTTGCCTTCGCCGGCCCCTCTCCCGGCAGAGAGACCTCAAGGGCGCCGCTCTTCGGAGCTTTCTGGAGGAGGTGAAGCACTGGCCGAACCTCAAGCACTCCCAAGATCTGAAGCACTTTCTGACCACAGACAGGTACGCGTGGGGGGGTATACGGGGGGCTGCGCTTAAGTTTCGGCTTCCTTGCGGTAGGGGGCACACTCACTCCCAAAGCGCGCCTTTCCCAACATCTGCAAGATTCTCCCTTGACCGCCCTCTGAGGCTTTCAAGCATTGGGGGTTAGATACGGCCGGAGGCAAACGGATGTATTGGTGTGTGTATGTCCTTCCTAACTGTTGTCCAGGCGCCGTGATCATGCGTGGAGGTATCCGCATGGAGTGTTGTGCGTGCTTCGAAGCGTAAGAACGAGCATTGGAAAAGTGAAAAATAGGGTATAGACCCCTGGGTTACTACTGCGCGGCGACTTTTGGCTAAGCGTGAGGTAGTCTCGGAATCTGAAACATGCTTGGTGTCGGTGCGCTTATTTCTTTTCGCGGCGTTTGTGTGGTGTGGTGTGGTATGTATGCAGGGTTAACCTGTCGGGCGGCATCATCAGCAAGAAGACCATGAAACCGTACCTGGACGCGTGGATCAAGGTAAGTGCAGACCTCGTCCCCACCGGTCGCCGCTTGCCGTTCGGCAGTTGCGCCGTGCGTACATCGGCGCGAGCAAGTTGAATGCACCTGTCTAGCAAGGGCTGCTAGCACCTGTTTTGGAGCAGATTCGCAAGATCGAGGCGTGCCTCGTTGTTTTTTGGCAGCGTCAATGGCCGGCGGGAACGCGGAGGACGAAATCGAACGGATGCTCTCTTGTGGTATTGTTTAAGCTCGTACACAACTCCTGGTATCGCCGATCGCGTTTTATTAACGTTTTTCTAGCGTTTTCATTGGCGGGTTCAAGTGGACAGGCCGGCTCGGCCCCTCCCGACTTCCCGGAAGGTGTCCGCGTGTCGACGTTGGTGATGTCATGTACCGGCAACCGATGCTATTCTGATGCACGTTCGGTAGCGATGTTATGTGCGCCAAGCTGTGGCGGCACCGTCCGTTCATTTCTTTTGCCGACGGCGACGAATACGTTCGTGCTTTTGTCGTTTGTGTTTTTCGGCTTTTGAAAGACGAGCTCAGAGCCGACCTGGACCCTGAAGCTTCCCCCGATCCCGGGCAAGGAGGGCACCGGCGGCGACGGCGGAAAACCGTCGGCCAAGGACAAGAAGAAGGTGTGTGTCAGTACTGCAGGCGCTGAAGGTGCAGTTGGTAGTTCGTGTGTACCTGCAGGGTTGACCTCGAGATTCTCGGCGATAAGCTGTTTCGTTGTATCTTGTTTTCTGTCGCACAAGCGTAAGCTTCCAGTGGGTTGCTCTGTAGAGCTTCGAACTCAAGATGCCTTTTTTTTTTTTTCCCTGCATGTCATGTGCTGAACAATCCCAGGGTCGTGCTGTGGTACTGGAGGAACGTTCTTGCAGTACACGGGAAACAACCTAGTCGTCGAAGTAGTACGGCGCAGGAGGGGGGCTATTGGACCCTACCCTCACCTTATCACCGCCTCACCCCGCGCTGAGGATGGTGTAATGGAAGTCATGGAACGTAAAAATTGGATGAGATTTCCCCCCCCCCCTCCTCGCCCCCCCCGGTGTTTGCCATCGGGATTGGGTTTTCGTCGCTTGGCAACGACGTTGTAAAACAAGCCAATTCACTTCGTGAACTCGGCAACCAGGTTACCGTTTTTTTTTTACCTCCGGTTTTTTTTTTGGCGGTAACCATAATGGTGGTCGAGTAGATCATGTTGTGCGGGGT